TATGTACAATGTGATTTTTATTTTTTTCCTTCTGATAACAATTTTCCATTTTTGTGTGATAATGCTCAAATTCAGAATAGATTTTAAAGATTTTTTTTTTGAGTTGATACTTTTAAAAAATGTTATGCATATTTATTTGATAATACTCAGGAGATTAAAATCTTTGAAAAAATATTCTACCTTGACTTTATTTGTGATATGACCTCTAAAGAACTTAATAAAAGTCAAGGATTTTGAGTTTTTTTTTTCGTGTTTTATTTCTTGAAATGGTATGTTTTAGATTTGAAATAATGCAGCCTCTAAGTAATAAAATTTTTAAAAAGTAAAAATGTTTTAATAAAATGTACATTTTTAAAAATTGTATATTTTGAAAAATTTTTCTTCACAAAAGTATGTATTAAAAATACCCACACATTATTTTGTACATCAGGGATGTCAAATTCAAAGGCTAATTTGGGTCAAACAAATAAAATTTAACTTCAGTTGGGAAATAAAAAAAAAAAAATATTTATAGAGAAATGTAAGTTTGTTTCGAATAATGCATAAAAATAAACATAAATAAAAGAAGTAAAATGTAATGTTTACGGCCTGACACACTTGCCATCTCTTCTCTTCTACTGTTTTTCCTATTTCGGGAGAAATTTTGATATTTTATTATATATTGTGTGCCGATATACTGGCCGGGCTGCAAAAATGTTTATCATGGGCCGTGAATTTGACACCCCTGTTGTATGTCAATGATTATATGAAATAATTTGGTAAATTAATTTCTTAGTTTACTCACAGACACAACAAGAATTTTCAAAATTTAAAGCTTGGGAAGTAAACTTTTTGAAATATATTTGATTGGTGTACAAAAGGTAATATTTATCAGTGTAAAAAAATAATAATAAAGTTTTATTTATATTTGTCCATCTTGAAAAAACTTAATAGAAAAAGTCAACATACTTGTCTTTCTCAATGGTGTCTCTTGTAATTGTAACACAAATAAGTTTGAATACTTAAAAGGAATATTTTTATATTTATAAAATTTACATCAAAATTAAAACAGGAATCACCGTGCTAAAGCTTATACTCCTTTATAAGTTTATTTCAATCTAAAAAAAATATTCTCACACACTTTTTAAATTAATTTTGTAGAAGTTTTATTTACAAGAGAAAAAGGGAATTTAAAATAATATCAAAATAAAACAAAAAAGTATGTAAGTATATATAAAAACAAATTTTACTATGTATTTTTTTATATTCATTTTGATTTCTTATTGGAATTTTTTAATCAGTTTTTTGATACACACTCTGTTTTGGACTAAATATTTTACTGTTTCATAAATTATCTATGTTTCGGTAATTGATCATTATACTTTACTTTGCTGTTTGGACTCTTGTCTGTTGGACCATTTTCAGGCTTGTGGTATCCATGGTGGTTGTATTTTTTACTTTCCAAGTTTATTGTGATAGAGTTGACAATTTTTGATTTGTGAAAATTTTCATGCTACTGCTTTATGTATAAGTTATAATAAATATATTTTTCTATTAATTTTTGTTTGTGTTATTTTTTTTCTTTATAAAAATAAAACATTTCATGTGAATATTTTCTTTGATCAATGTATAATTTTTCTAATTACTTTTTCCTTTCCCTCAATATTTTTTTTATGAAAATATAATAAATTTGTATTGATTCTTCAAGATTGAGATATTGAATATTAATTTGTTTTAAATATGATTTAAAAATTGTAGGGCTACAAACTTTTTGACTGTCTTTACAGTTGTATAATTTGTACAATAGGGGTTGATCTGCCCTTAGGCAGACAGCTCCACCCCCCTCCTCAAATGTTAATAAAACCCCCGATTTATCGATCGATAAGGTTCTTTATTTGTTTATATATAAATTAAGAAAACAATTAAAGAGGTACACGGAGTCTAGATTAAGATTTTAGATCTAGAATAAAAACAAAGTAAGAGTACTCATTTACGATATTACTTTATTGCTTCTTAACTGACGCCTTTTCTTTCAAATTTCTTCCTCAAAGAAAATAGGATTCCAGATCTGGGTTCGGAACACGTTTCAGGTAGAAAAAATTTGCATCGTCCCGTGATTTAAAAACTTTTTGTTCCAGAGCGTTTTTTTTTTTAGTTTGAATCATTATTCTCTAGTTATAACAATGCATTCAAGTAGTGCTTTCACAAAATGCTAACGCATGCGTTTTATAATGATTCTGACGTGAAGTAATTTTTGAGGAAACTATAGAATTTTTCGAGAAGTAGAGAGAGATAGATAGGATTTTAATAAAATTTAAGTTTATGTTGTTATAAAGTTGCAATTAGGGGTAAAACATTTCACAATCATTTTTAAATACACATGTTAAATAAATGCATACTATGTCTTTGATATTTATGTATACCGTCGAGCCCCGATTTAACGAATTCCCCGGAAACGAGCCTTTTATTCCTTAAATTGGATCTATTTGTACTATCGAGGAAAAAATATAATTTTTTTTTTGCACTTTTTGGAAGTTACATAATGAGCAACTACACAAAAAGTAGGTTAGAAATTGCACACAATTATTTAGCAGCTAAAAATACTATTGGCGAATTATTGCGGATCATTTAATTGGAAATTTTAAAATATCGACTAATAGATGTTTGACAATTTTTTTGATTCCTGATTCGAATGCGTCCATTGGGGACTCCTGCCTTACATTATAAAGGCGTTTCAATGGAAACTTGACAAAATATTGGTTATATAGCCAAGGTGGCATAATTTTTGGCGACCAAATTTTGTGACTTGGATACCATACGGATGCTTCTAGAAATTACTGAAGAAATCTATAACATCATGACGTATGCGGATTTTTCGATACAGCGCTGGAAAGTAGGGGGTACCTCCTAGGCGCCCCTCTTCAGTTAAATTCAACTTTTTTCGACCCATTTTTACGTACTAAACCTTGTGAATAAATAAATTTGTTACAGCACCACGAAAAACTTTTTTGTATATAGGGAGAAAACCAAGTAGAAAAAAAGAAACGTGCGCGTAATATTTGAGGTATATTCGAAAATTATGACTAGAAAGGAGTAGGATATATAGAAGTAGCAAAAATGTAAAAGAATTTGAGGAAAAAAAATTCGTTGATTAAATTTTATTGAAGATGAGTAGAGAGTTAAAAATAAAAAAATTATATATATATATATATATAATACCTTATAATTTTTTTATAAAAGAAATTGTAGCATTTTTCATATATATTTACATATAATCGAAGTAAGATATATTTTGGTTTAAGAAAGAAGCTTATTTCTGCTGCAACTGAACTTCATTTCAATTTTGATGTTCACGGCAAGTGATTGACATTTTTTTAACGAAAAAAAAAAAGAGCCGAATGTAATATTTATTTATTTTTTATGTCTTCCTTCAGGTTTTATTAACAATAAATTGTGATTTTATACCTGTTACTTCAAATTTTACCTATATATTGCTTATTTTCCAATTACTTGTTCTTTTTCAATAAAAACCTGTTAGAGAGTGGACATGCTTGCAGGGGCGTCTTAAATTTTTTATGAGGCCTTGGGGCACCCTATGCAAAAGTGGCCCCCCGACCTCTTACCCTTTTAAGTGTTCAGTACATAAGCATACTTTGTGAATTACTTGTGCAAACAATAACCCGTAACAAATAATTGTGCATGACTCACAATCTCATTATAGTCGACATGTTGTGGGTTCGAGTCCAGATGTCACTGAAGACCAACGGTGTACAGGTGTCGCGGGTGTAAGAGGGTTCGGGGAAGAAGTAGACATGATCTTAAAAATAGCTACATTTATTCTAGCTTTAACACTTTATGAATGATATACAATTTAAATCCTAACACTTAATCTGATGTATAAGATTATTCAAAATAACTCATCTTGAGTCGGAGCTCCTTATGACGATCCTTCTTAAACCCCGATAGCTCGGTCAGCTCCAATGCTAGTTACTTCCTCAACTTCTATTGAATTCTAAGATGAGTATTGATTTCAGACCACTCGACTTCCCCTAGTCGCAATTTGCTTTCTCTTATTCTTAGACTTCACGATTATCGATTAAAAATCAACCGTTGACTCTCACACACAAACGTCAGGACTTAAACATTATTTACATTTGCATAAAACCAAGTCATCTCTGCTGAAAATGGTTTTTAAATTAAAATCACGGTTAAACAATAGTTTCCTCAAGAGGATTAGTGGAAGAATCCGAATAGAACCCATTATAGAGGTCGCTGGGAGCTGATGCACATTAAATTTGTCGAGCTTAAACTCCTCCCGTTGGCGTGGTGTTGTAGTTTGGAGAGGGAGGGGACAGCTCAGGTGTTGTCCTCATCCTTTGGTTGTGGCTCAAAAGAACTAGGTTCGTCGCCAATACCCCTCGTATTGCTTTATAGTACGACGTTAATATCTCTCTCCTTCATTACTCACTCACTCAAAATCTCTTAAACCTAGGCGACTGCCGCCTTTTGTATACAAGAGGTGGTGTGATAGAAAGTAGAGTGATAGGGCTAGGCCTAAGCACAAGCGATGGACATAACAATGATTATGTAGTCGTCACTGTAGCCGTTTGCGGATAGTTGGAAATTCATAGTTCTTTGGAGAATGTGACCGATAATAACATTTGACGATTAAAATTATTTTTATCGTGATCTTACTGAGGATGAATTGAACAAGTAATATTAAAAAAAAAATGTAAGTCAATTCCTTTTTAGGTCAACACAGAAATTTTTTATTTTAGCTACTTTTTATTAAATAGTTGCGATTAATATAACTATGTACATACATATGACAGAATCACACTATTAAATGACAAAATAGATAGAGATTTTCCTCTTAGAAAATTTTTTTTCCATTTTCCTTTCTATATATTGGGTTGGACTATTTTTTGGTTTTGTTTGTTACTTTTATTTATTCATTAAATGTAATTTTTCCAATAAAATAGTACAGTTAAAAAAAAAGTATATTTTCGCAGAAATTAGGAAATTTCAGATGGGACTCGAATCCATGAACTTTGGATTAGAAGTCCAACGCGCAATGCATTGCGCTACAGGGACACAACGAATGATTTTCCTTTCTATATATCCTGTTGGACTGTAATTTTTGTTTGTTACTATTTATTTGTTTTTTAATTTAATGAATGGATTAATATTTGAAAAAACTATATTAATATCGACAAGTTTAAAAAAACGTATTTGAACTTGAATGGACGAATAGAAAGTATTTTATTAACAATTGAAAATTTGAACAATATATATATATATATAGGGAGAGAGAGTGAACTAATAGTTGGAATTGAAAAAAAGAGAGCAAATTACGGAAATGTTTGAACATATTTATGTAAATAAAATGCTCTCTTAAACTTAATTTTATCCAATACATGATTTCTTTTCTTTACAATATCTTTTAACACGAAATTCTTTCAATGCGAAAAAAATATTTCAATCCTCTCAGTTTCATACTCAATGATTTTCGCTGTATATTTGACATAATAAGAGTACAAACACTTGTGATTTTATTGTGATGAGCCCAACTTCAGCAAATCGCAAAATATGCAAAACGCCAGAGTAATGGTTTTCCATAACTAGCCCATACAGAATTCGTTGTCAGCCCAGTTGTCTAACGATCATCAAGGCTTATGTTTGTGGTCTGCCAGGTTGGTTGGACAATGAATACACTCAAGAAAAAGTCAGGTATCGCCCCTTAACGTAAATCTTTATGCGGTACAGAAATAAATTGGATATCATGATCAATATAATTGATTTAGTGAAAATAACAATACATTTTACAAGCCCCCTTAAAAAGGAATATGTTAGTCACAATTTGAGCGATTTATAAGGTCGCTCAGACAGGATCCGAAAGCTGCTATTTCCTAATCTATGAGCTTGAAAATATCAAAGATCATGACAGAGATTGGATGATAAAAAAAGATAAAACACAAATCGGGGAAAGTGTGCAGGTTGAGACTGATTTTTTAAATACCGAATCTGCTTTAAGGAACCGAAAATAGATAAAAAAAAAAAAAAATGATAATAATCTCAGAAGTGTTCATGAGATTCAATTGCTACATTTATTTTATTGTTATTTTTTCTTTGTGGTAAGTGCACTTGTACCTAAGGATGGGAGCTCGTTCCAATATTTATAGACATAAAAAAAGCAACAGCGAATTCAAATATTACTATTTTTTAGATTAGAAAATTTGTACATGTCTGAATACCGTACATTCTCCCCACCATCAGAACATTTCATGTTTAATAGTGGATTAAAATTATTTAGTACGCAGCAACATTTATAGTGGCTGTCAGTAGATATTTTGTAAAATGTTTACAGTAATTCTAGCTGTTTATTTTAGTACCTCAGTTTTAATATTAAATGATATTTTTTATACATGTGCGTGTGCTAGGTATTATATGACGTATGTAATTTTGTCACATAATGACCAAAATATGTACTGGTGTTCAGTTGCGTAACGGAGAATGTTAGAGCTCCCATGCAAAGTCAGGTTTTGTGCCGCAAGTCTAATTTTACAAAGGTTGTGACGGGTCTATCCGCGTTAATTTCCAAACTAATCATCTTGGGTAACTTTGGGGCCAGCATTTATTCTATTTCACAGCCTCCTCGGGAAAAACACGAGATAGTTATATGCTAATTAGTTCGACTAATAAATCAAAATAGGCGCCTAATTATAACCATTGACTTACTCGACCTTATTATAGAATAACTAATATTACTATTTTTCCGTTCAAATTTTGTTGCTTTACCAGATTTTATTGTGAACTGCTCCTTTTAAAACGGTTGTAGAGGTATCTCGGTCTAAGTATACAATCGTATGCTTTTCACTCAATCAGGTCATTGCCTTGACTTGAAAATGTTTTCATATATCAGTTATACACTATCTACCAATAAGTAATTGGACATCTGTGAAAAAAAGACATAAACAAAATTTATTCATATTCAATAGTTGGTAGAGGCCCCACGAGAAGCAATTACAGCCTAAACCCTCCGGACCATGTTTTGCATAAATATTTGAATGATGAATTTTCTATCATTCGAAACTTGGAGAGGACATACAATGAGCCGGCCATTTCTATGATATCGAATAATTATGCTCTTTTCGAAGTCAGATAGCTTTGAATTTCGTGTTAGCTTGCATGCGACTCATGCCCCAATGCTGTTTACTACACGATATTCCAGTACAGAAGGAGTGACGCAGATCAGGACTTAGATATCCTTATTTGTATGGGTGCCCAAAATATACTGATTGGTAGATATAGTGTAGATTGTATAGTTCCTTTTCTTTTCATATTTTGATGGATTTTCTAAGATTAAATGTAGCATGAGATTTAATACACAAAAATGAGTGAGAAAAAGAGATATAAATGTAGGAAAAATAAAGCTAATTTTTACAAAAGGTTTTTTTAAATTGAAAATTACTTAAGTATAGATATACAAAACAATTGAAAAAAAGTATCTAGTGTTAAAAGGTACATATAGAAGTGTTTATTTTTAAATTTTTACGAATTTTTTCTCTGTGTGTGTGATGTCAGTTTTAAACAGATTTTTTTAAATAAGTATTCGTTTTAATTGTGAAGTTTGATATGTTTGATTTAGTGCTATATTTTTGATAAAATTCCGTCTCTTTTTTTCATTTAAAATATTTCTTGAGATTAAATTTTGCTTCATGGTCATCCGATTAAAAAAAAAACACTCGAAAAAAATTTCTGTTTTTCTCAAATAGTATAGCCCCCAGACTTATAATAGAAAAAAAATATCTTTCTTTTTCATTCAGTTTCATTTTTTTCTGTACTTATTTATACACGTACAGGTAATTGAAAGATCGTAACCATTGTCGATGCCATTTTATTTCTCTTGTAAAAATAGACAATTCATATAAAAGTAGAGCTGTTAGGAATGATTTCTGATGTTTTATATTGATTCAGTGGAGAGTTTACGACCCTAAAAAGGTGCAAAGAAATGAAAGCAGGTAGACGTTCCATCCGAATACTTTTGAACGTGATTCTAAACTGTTATTTGTTGTCTTGTTCTGCAGGTGCAAGACGATCATGGCTTCAATAAACAGGGGAAAGTACTGAGTCGGTTTGTTTTTTGTTGATTGCATTCGTGAATTCGATTAAATTTTTTTTATCTTCTTTAGTACATGCAATAGTTTGAGCAAAGGTTTTCCTTTGCTTTCATTCTCCTTTTTGTTTCTTTTCCTGTACTGTTCTTCCTTCCCTACTTGAGTAACCAAGATATTTAACTCGAGGCAGATATGTCACGAGTTCAAACCTAATGCCGCTGAAGACCCACCGTGTAGGGGGGAGATTCGCGTTAAATCTGCCGAGAGCTCAAACGTTCTCCCGTTGGTGTGGTGTGGTAGTTAATAAGTACCTAGGGTTAATACTTGAAGCTAAATTAAATTTTGCCTAGCATATCCGTTCCGCTCACCAAAAGGCGGCTGGAATGAGAAGCACTCCAAATCGTTTGATTTCTCCCAAGAGCAAGCTCGCATTAAGGCACAAGGTTCTGTTACACAAAATCATTCTTCGCCCCATCATGTTCGCTTCTCCCATCTGGGCAGGTGCGGCAGTTACTCATCTGAAAAGATTGTACACTTTCCAAAACATTCAACTGCGTAGAGCAGCAAACGCACCTTGGTTTGTCAGGAACGAAGTCTTGCATAAAGATCTTAACGTTCCGTCGCTTCTTGATTTCCTTAAAAAACAATCAGAAATTTTTTCCAACCGGTTACCTCAGATCCCAAATGAATCCATCAGAGAAATCCCGGCTTATGATAATTCTATCCCTAGCTCTTCTAAGAGACTTAGAGCAGTCCTTGACTACTCCTATCAACACTTCCCAGCTCTGAAAAGGACGAGAATGTCTTGATACAAATTAAATTATTTATCACTCGTTGTTTTCTTTTGCAAGACTTCATTCACTCTAATTATTACCCCCCCCCCTCCATGCGAGCTTTTGCATGCGGTTAGTGTGACAACTTGATCCTATTTTAAACTTCTCCACCTTTTCTTACTTTTTTCCAAGTGGTTATTTAAAATCTCCTTTCAATAACCGCACGCAGATATTTAAGAGGTAATGAGTAACGGACATGAAAATAATATTCTCTTTAATCTTTGATATTAAAGAAATTCCTCCCTTTTCTCCCCTCGTTTCGTCGAGAGGCGGCAGCCGGTTGAAAGACGGGCGTGGTTGTCAGAGATGTGCCGTCCTTAACTAAATCAACTGGATAAGTGGTTTCCCACTCACCCCTCCACCAGCGTTGTTGCGCTGCACTCATTGTGAACTGCTTTATATTCTTATGTAACACTTCAGCAAATTATCCTTATTTTCTTCTATTTATTATGATGAGTGGATGATAGAGATATCTCTAAGGTTCCACGTAAATGTATAACCGTTACCGTGTGGTAGTTAGGAGAGGAGGTGCCAGCCCAGGTGTCATCCTCGTCACTTGACCGTAATTCAAAATTACGAGGTCTGTCTCCAAAAACCCTCGTGTAGCTGAACAGTGCAACGTTAATATTTTCTCACTCACTTTCCCCACTTGAGGTAAAAAGCTTAGAATTTCATTGGAGAATATATAGAGGGGGAGAATATCTCCCCCTCTATAATTGCTAATTTTTTTCTATGTTCGGAAAAAATTATATGGCCATACTAGCCGTAACCGCCTGCTTCGATGACTATAACGTGGCCGCGGTAGCTAGAGGTTAAAGGACTCCTGGCCAGCGTGTCATGAGTTCGAGCCTAGTACCGTTGAACACTCGCCGTGTAGGGGCGATGCACGTTAAATCTGTTAAGAGCTCAAACGTCCTCCCGTTGGTGGGGTGTGGCAGTTAGGAGAGGAAGGTGCCGGCTCAGTTGTCGTCTTCGTCATTTTGAACCATGGTCAAGAGACGAAGTCCGTCTCCAAACGCCCTCGTGCAGATGAACAGTGCGGTGTTAAATATTCACTCACTCGCCCAATTTTATTGAATTTCACACACACGCACAAGCACGAACCAACTCCAACAAAATCGTGTTTCCTCTCTTATCTTTTTCC